GGCTCCGGTGATCCTTCCGCCTCAGCCTTCCAAGTAGCTGGAGCTACAGGCTTGTGCTACCATGCCTGTCTAATTTTTGATTTACTGTAGAGACGTGGTCTCGCCAAGTTGCCCAAGTGGGTTTCAAACCCGCAGGCTAAGGCGATTACTCGCCTCGGCCTCCCAAAGTGCTGGGATTACAGGCTGAGTCACCAATTTTTTTTTTTTTTAATTTATTGTAGAGACAAGATCTCTCACCTTGTTGCCCAGGCTGGTCCCTGGACTTAGTCAATCCTCTTGCCTCTACCTCCCAAAGTGCTTGGATTACAGGCATGAGCTACCATGCCCGGCATGAATGATTTTTAAGGGATAGTGAATTATTTTTTATTTTTTTGAGTTGGAATCTCACTGTTCCCCAGGCTGGAGTGCAGTGGCATGCTCACAGTCACCATAGCCTTGACCTGCTGGGTTCAGGTGATCTTTTCCACCCCAGCCTTCCAAGTAGCTGGAACTACAGGCACACACCGCCATGCCTGGCTAGTTTTTTGGTTTATTGTAGAAATGAGGTCTCACCAAGTTGCCCAGGTTGGTCTCCAACCTGTGGGCTCAGGCGGTCCCCTCACCTTGGCCTCCCAAAATGCTGGGATTATAGGCGTGAGCCACTGCCTGACCTAGTAATGATTTTTAGGGGAATTCAGTGGATTGAAGAACATGCAGTGACTGGGGACAAAGCCTGTTGGGCCCACAGAGCAGACAGTGGTTTAATGACACAAGTCTTTTGAGGTGTGTTGACTGGTTTTAGTCTTTCTTTCTTTCTTCATTCATTCATGCATGCATGCATGCATGCCAGAGTCTTTCTCTATCGCCCAGGCTGGAACTTCAGTCTTTATTCCTGTGGTGGTATAAGTTCAGTTAGTGAAAACTCAAGGAAGAGACCAACGATAATTGTTCTTTTTGGTAGGAAAAGAATTTAGGCAGATAAGAGAACTTAAGGATTAACAGCTTCATTTTGTGCTTTGAGAGATATGGAGGGGTGGTTAGAGAGACCTTGAAAGAATGCTTCTTTAGTTCAACATGCTCAAGCCTCATATTTTGGAATATTGGTATCTGAGCCTTAGCCACATATTAACAGAGTAGTGCAACCATCACCACAATCAGTGTTAGATCATTTTAGTCACTCCTGGAAGAAACCCTGTCCTGTCCTCATTAACAATCACTCTCCATTTCTCCCACCCACCCACAAGCCTAGGCAACCACCAATCTACTTTCTGTCTTTAGGTTAGCCTGTTTTGAATCTGTCATATAAATTGAATCGTACAATGCATGACCTTTTGTGTCTTCTTTCACTTGGCATAATGTTTTCAAGTCTCATCCGTTTAGTAACAAGTATTAGTACTTCTTTCATTTTTTTTCTTTTTCTTTTTTTTTGAGTTGAAGTGTCACTCTGTTGCCCAGACTGAAGTGCAGTGGCATACTCACAGCCACCACTGCTTCGGCCTGCTCAGGTGATCCTTCAGCTTCAGCCTTCCAAGTAGCTGGAACTACAGGCATCCGCCACCACGCATGGCTAATTTTTTGATGTATTGTGGAGATGGGGTCTCGCCAAGTTGCCCAGGCTGGTCTCGAATCCCTGGGCTTAGGCAATCCTCTTGCCTCGGCCTCCCAAAGTGCTGAGATTACAGGCTTGAGCCACCACACCTAGCCCTTCATTCCTCTTTATTACCAAATAATATTTCATTGTATGAATATACCACATTTTATTTATCCATTCATCAGTTGATGGATGTTTGGGTTGTTTCCACTTTTTGGTTTTTATGAATAATGCTATGAACATTGTGTGCATATTTGTGTGAGGACATGTTTTCAGTTTTCTTCGGTGTAGGAGTGAAATTGCTAGGTCATATGAACTACACATTTAGCGTTTTGAGGAATTCCAAATTATTTTTCAAAGCAGCCATACCATTTTGCATTCCTATCAGCAGTATGTGAGGATTCCAGTTTTTCTACATCTATGCCAGTGCTTGTTATCTAACCTATTTTGTTTTTTTTTTTTTTTTGAGTTGGAGTCTCACTCTGTCACCCAGACTGGAGTGCAGTGGCCGCTCCCGGCCACCGCAGCCTCGACCTGCTGGGCTCCGGTGATTCTTTCGCCTCAGCCTTCCAAGTAGCCAGAATTACAGGCGCGCGCTACCACGCCCGGCTGATTTTTTGATTTATTATAGAGATGAGGTCTCGCTGCCCAGGCGGGTCTCGAACCCGCAGGCTCAGGCAATCCACTCACCTCAGCCTCCCAAAGGCACGGGATTACAGGCTGAGCCACTGAGCCCGGCCTAACTTTTTTATTATAGCCATCCTAGAGGATGTGCAGTGGCATCTCAGTGTGTCAGTGTGCTTTTCTTTTTTCTTTTTTTTTTTTTTTTTGACTCAAGTTAATTAAAAAAATTTTTCTTGTAGAGACAAGGTCTTACTGTGTTACATAGACTGGTCTTAAACTCCTAGGCTCAAGCAATCCTCCTTTCTCAGCCTCTCAAAATTCTGGAATTATAGGTGTGAGCCACCATGCTCGGCCTGTATTTTTGTTTTTTTAGATAGAGGCAAGGTCTTACTATGTTGCCCAGGCTGGTCTTGAACTTCTGGGCTCCTTTCTCCACCTCCCAAAGTGCTAAGATGACAGGCATGAACCAATAGTTGTTTTTATTGTAAGAGGCCACCACAGCTTATACTTGCCGGGCTCAAGTGATCCTTCCACCTCAGTCTTCCAAGTACCTGGAACCACAGGCATGTGCTACCACACTTGGCTGCTTTTTAAAAAATTTGTTGTAGAGATGAGGTCTTGGCTGTTTTGCTCAGGCTGGTCCCGAACCTGTGGACTCAGGCAATCCTCTCACTTTCACCTCTCAAAGTGCTGGGATTAGAGGCTTGAACCACCATGCCCAGCCATACTTTTTGCTTTTTAAGACTGTCTCACTGTGTTGCACACGCTGGTCTCAAACTCCTGGGCTCAAGTGATCCTCCACCTCTGTGTCCTCAGTAACTGATTATAGGCACATGCCACTGTGCCTGGCCAAATGTATACTTTAAAAAAAATTTTTTTAAATCTACTGTATTATCTTAATGAGCAATTAGTAAACAATTTACTTGTAAAATTCAAAATGTTTTTTCTCTAACTATAACGCAGAAGAATATTATCACACATCACCTACAAGACTTATACATCAACCATGTAAAGTCTTTCCACTTAGATTTCCTTAACACATCTTACATTTCAGTGTACTTAATCTTCCATGGAAAAGTATGAATGATGGCTGTGTAATATAGAAGAATTTGTCTAGCTCTGATAAAGCAGCAATTGACCATGTGCTTTTATAATAACACTAGAAAAGCGGACAGAGTGAGACTCCAACTTGGAAAAAAAGATATAGCATAAGGTGATTTGAGATTCATATTATGTTAATGTGTGCTCTCCAAAAAGTCTAAAATTTTTTCAATGCCAACACAGTATGTATATATGTATATTTGAGTCAGGGTCTCACTTTGTTGCCCAGGCTGGAGTGTAATGTACAATCATGGCTCATCACAGCCTTTACCTCCTGGCCTCAGGTGAGCTTTCTGCTTCATCCTCCCAAGTAGCTGGGACCACAGGCACACACTGCCATTCATGGCTAATTTTTTGATTTTTTTTTTTTTAATTTTTTATTTTTTGTAAATACAAGGTCTTGCTATGCTATCCAGGCTGGATAAACAAAGTATAATTTGAATAGAATTATAACTTGCCAAAATTCAATACAAATAAAATAACTAACAATTTAAACTTTGGAATATTCTCTATAATCAGTACTCTAATTTAGAGTAGTGTCTTTTTTTTTTTTTTGAGTTGGAGTCTCACTCTGTCACCCAGGCTGGAGTGCAGTGACATGCTTACAGCCACCACAGCCTTGGCTTGCAGGGCTCAGGTGATCCTTCTGCCTCAGCCTTCCAAGTAGCTGGAACTACAGGAATGCCCGACTTATTTTTTGATTTATTGTAGAGACAAGGTCTCACCAAGTTGCCCAGGCTAGTCTCGAAGCCCTGAGCTTTGGTAATCATCTTGCTTCAGCCTTCCAAAGTGCTGGGATTATAGGATAAGTAATATCTTAAAGCATTAGTATCCTACTGCGTCCTACCCTGAAACATCCGATGTTTATTTAAACTTGATTTTTGATTATTTATTCACATTAATGCATCTGTAAATTACCTTTTAGTGTGAACTCTTTGATGTTTTCTAAGGTATATTTTTTGGACAAGTAGTTTTCCTTATTGCATTTGTAGAGTTTTTCTCCAGTACTAATTTACTGAAGTTGAATACAGTTTGATAAACTGTTGGAGGGTTTGCTGCCAGTATAAATTCTCCTGTGTACATTAAGATCTATGACATAAGTGAAGGTATCACACCCCTCTGTATATGTGTAGTATTTTTCTTCAATATAAATACTCTTCTGCACTCTAAAACTGAAATCTTGTGAATGGTTTTTCAACGATCATTACATTTGCAACCCTTTTTTCAGTGTGAGCTATCTGATGTAGAGGAAGATGTGAGCAAGTATTATAGCCTTTGCTATAGATAGGTTCTTTTTTAATAGATCTGAGATCTGGGACTTTTGATATGGAGCTTGGGAGACTACTGATGGGAGTTTCAGTGGATGGTTGGGGAGAATGGGAGGAAATACAAAGGTTATAAGTGAAAAACTTAGTAAATATTTACTTTTTATTTACTAAATAAAAAGCTGGGGCAACCCCTTTGGGTCTCCTCCCACTGTGGCAGCTTTTTTGTCTTCTCAATAAATCCTGCTTTTAAAAAAAAAAACTGCCTCTCTGAGTAAAAATAATAAATCTGCCTAATCTTTATGAAATTAAATTGATTTGAGGAGTGAATTAACATTTCAAATATTGAAATGTTTCCCTTTTCTTTTATGTAGTCATCTCAGCAAAACTTAAAGAAAACAAAAAGAATTGGTTTGGACCAAGTCCTTATGTAGAAGTCACAGTAGATGGACAGTCAAAGAAGACAGAAAAATGCAACAATACGAACAGTCCCAAGTGGAAGCAACCCCTTACAGTGTAAGTTTGAAAATATTTTCTATACTATATTTTGTTTAGTAGGTAAGTGGAAATACAGCTTTGAAAAATGTTTCTCACTTGATTTGTTTTTCTTTTTGAGTCAGGGTCTGTGTCGCCCAGGCACTGCTACAATCTTAGTTCACTGCAGCCTCAATCTTCTGGGCTCAGGCGATGCTCCCACCTCAGCCTCCCAAGTAGCTGGGTCTACAGACACAGCTCATGCCACCATGCCTGGTTAATATTTCTGGATTTTTTTTTTTTTATAGAGATGAGGTTTTGCTGTGTTCCCCAGGCTGATTTGAAACTCCTGGGCTCAAGCAGTCCTCCTGCCTTGCCCTCCCGAATAGCTAGTACTACAGGCGTGAGCCACCATACCCAGCAGTTGGTTGGTTGGTTGGTTGTTTTGTTTTTTCCTTCTCCTTTCTCTCCCTCATCTTTTTATTTTCCTTTTCCTGTGACTCCTTCCTAAAGTTTCATTTTTGTTTCTCTTTAGATATTTCTGTTTTTCCAGCTCGTCCCTTTCTTTGCCTTCTCCAGATCAATTGGTGTTGTTTATCACTAGTGCCACTGAACAATAGTTGGGAGAGCCCATGGTCATGGACCTACAAAGATTTTAGCAATTTTTTTTTTACTCTTATAGAATTGGGGGGTTAAAAGTGGCTTAGTCTGGTTTTTTTACTTAATTTTTAGTTATTATTATTACTGTTCTTTTTGAGACGGGGTCTCACTCTGATGCCCAGGCTAGAGTGTAGTGATGTAATCATGGCCCACCATAGCCTCAAACTCCTGGGCTTAGGTGATCCTCCTGCCTCAACCTCCTGAGCAGCTGGGACTACAGGTACATGCCACCATGCCTGGCTAATTTTTTGTAGAGACAAGTTCTTGCTATGTTTATTAGGCTGGTCACGAACTTCTGAGCTTAAGTGATCCCCTGCTTTAGCCTCCCGAAGTGCTGGGAACCACTCTGCTCAGCCTTAACATTTTTTTTTTTTTTTTTGAGTCGGAGTCTCACTCCGTCATCCAGACTGGAGTACAGTGGCATGCTTATGTCTATTGCAGCCTCAACCTGCTGGACTCAGGCAATCCTCAGCCTTCTAAGTTCCTGGAACTACAGGTGCACACCACCATGCCCGGCTAATATTCTGATTCATTGTTGAGGCAAAGTATCGTCATGTTGCCCAGACTGGTCTTGAACCTTGAACCTCAGGCAGTCCTCTTGTCTCCAGCCCCTCAAAGTGCTAGGATTGCAGGCGTGAGCCACTGCACCCAGCTTAAAATAGCATTTTAGTTTTGAGAGTACTGGGCTGGGCTTTGTGGCTCTTGCCTGTAATCTCGACACTTTGGGAGGCTGAGGAGAGAATATTGCTTGAGCCCAGGAGTTTGAGACCCTTAGGCAACATAGCAAGACCTCACCTCTATAATAAATCATAGTAACAAATTTAAAAAATGAAATTGGAGTGCCCACACAAACCAACATGAAGTTTTTTTCTTTTTTTTCAATGAGATGAGAGGTCTCGTCATGTTGCCCAGCCTGGTCTCGAACCCATGGGCTCAGACAGTCCTCTCACCTCTCGACCTCCAAAGTGCTGGCATTATAGGCGTGAGCCACCACGCCCCGCCATGGTTTTTTGTATGTTAAAAATGTTATATTAGCCAGGCTCGGTGGCTCAGCCTGTAATCCCCCATCTTTGGGAGGCTGAGGTGAGTGGATTGCCTGAGCCCGCGGGTTCGAGACCTGCCTGGGCAGCAAGACCTCATCTCTACAATAAATTAAAAAATCAGCTGGGCGTGGTAGCACATGCCTGTAATTCTGGCTACTTGGAAGGCTGAGGTGGAAGGATCACCGGAGCCCAGCAGGTCAAGGCTGCGGTGGCCGGGAGCGACCACTGCACTCCAGTCTGGGCAACAGAGTGAGACTCCAACTCAAAAAAAAAAAAAGTTATATTATTCTTTTGTTTCCTTAGCCTTTTTTGTTTGTTTGTTTAATGTGACAGAGTCTCACTGTATTGTCCGATCTGGTCTTGAACTCCGGATTCAAACAATCTTTCCTCCTCAGCCTCCCCAGTAGCTGGGACTACTATACATTTTATTTTACAGCTTTGTTTTTGTTCTTAACAGTTGTGCAATTGTTACCTTTCTACCTGAGTACATATAAGCCTGACATCACTTAGATAACTGTAACAAAGACTACAGGCGTGCACCACTACGCCCCGATAATATTTTTATTTTTTTTTTTGTAAAGATAGAGGCTTGCTATGCTCCCCAGAGTGTTCTTGAACTTTTGGCCTCAAGTGATGCTCCCACTTCAGCATCCCGAAGTGTTGGGATTACAGATATGAGTCACTGTATCCAACCTATAATTTATTTTTTATTTTTTTGAGTTGGAGTCTCACTCTGTCGCCCAGGCTGGAGTGCAGTGTCATGTTCACGGCTACCGCAGCTTTGACCTGCTGGGCTCAGACGAGCCTTTTGCCTCAGCCTTCCAAGTAACTGGAACTACAGGTGTGTGCTACCATGCCCAGCTGGTTTTTTGACTTATTGTAGAGACAAGTTGTCACCAGGTTGCCCTGAACCCCTGGGTCTAGGCAGTACCTAGCATCTTCTATTTTAATTTTTAAAATAGCCTTCAGTGAGTGTCCAATATCTTAGTTTATAATACTAACATTTGAGGCTTTGTCAATAAGTGTTAAAATTGAGCTATATCCTACTTCTGTGAATCCAAATTATAGAGAATAACACCAACATATAAAGATATATGCATGTGAATGTACACTACAACACTAAGAGTATAACATTACAAACTAACTAATAAATTAATAGGGAACTATTAAAATAAATTATAGATGACGGGTATGGTGGCTCATGCCTGTAATCCCAGCACTCTGGAAAGCCAAGGTGAGAGGATCACTTGAGGTCAACACTTCGAGACCAACCTGGGCGACAAAGTGAGACCTTTTCTCTGCAAAAATTTCTTTAATAAGTGGACTGGACATGGTGGTGCGTGCTTAAAGCCCCAGCTACTTGTGAGGCTGAGGCAGAAGGATTACCTGAGCCCAGAACATTGGGACTGTAGTGAGCCATGATCAGGACAATGCACTCCAGCCTAGGGAATAGAATGAGACTCTAACTAAAAAAAAAAGAAGAAAGGATGATTTATCAACAAATGGATTTTAAAATAATATAAGCATATTTGATTTGGAGACCTAAGGTATATTAACAATGTAGATCATAATGCTAAAGTTAAGAAAAAAGATGTAGATCAAATATAACTACTTGCTACCATATCACATACACACAAATTGCTTTTCTGGAATTTTGAATTTTTTTCCTTTAGAGAAATGAACTATCAACTTTAAAAAAAAAAGCTTTATTTCTAAGTGATAAGATGAAATTATAAGGTCTTTTCTTCACATATGTATGCTTATGTGGATTGTATTTATTCCTAATAAATGATAAACCAGATTGGTATGCCTACATCTTTTTTTTTTCATTTGAGTTGAAGTCTTACTCTGTCACTCAGACTGGAGTTCATTGGCATGATCACAGCTCACCACACCCTTGACCTCCTGAGATCAGGTGATCCTTTTGCCTCAGCCTCCTCAGTAGTCGGTACTACAGGCATGCACCACCACGCTGGAGTAATTTTTTTTTTTTTTTTTTCAGTTCGAGTCTCATTCTGTCACCCAGACTGGAGTGCAGTGGCACACTCCTGTCCACTGCAGCCTCAACCTGCTGGGCTCCTGCGATCCTTTCACCTCATCCTTTCAGTTAGCTGGAACTACAGGTGTGCACTACCATGCCTGGCTAATTTTTTATTTTATTGTAGAGATGAGGTCTCACCAAGTTGCCCAGGTGGGTCTCGAACCCACAGGTTCAGGCAATCCACTCACCTCAGCCTCCCAAAGTGCTGGGATTACAGGCTGAGCCACCGAGCCCGGCAATTTTTAAAAAAGTTTTTGTAATGGCTATGTTGCCCAGGCCTTCCTACCTCGGCCTCCCAAGGTAGGCCAGGATTAGTCATGAGTCACCCATGTCCAGCTGAATATGCCTGTATCTTTCACATGGATTTTTGAAGTTCTGTTAGCATCTTAATGTAGTATATGACAATTTTTGAGCAAGTGAGTGAAACTTAAGAATTTATTAAAGAGCATCATGAAACTCAATTATAGAATTATTATTCAGATGATCCTTATCTGTAGGCTTTCTGTTTCTAATTAGTGGCCCAATTTATGACCATACCATCCTGAACATGCACCCTATTTTTAGTTAAGGCCCATCATAGATTGAGCCTAAATCAAACAGTATATGAGTGAAAATTTTAAAAACACAAGTGAGGCAGGGCATAGTGGTACATGCCTGTAATCCTATCTACTCAGGAGGCTGAGGTGGGAAGATTGCTTGAGCCCAGGAGTCTGAGACTAGCCTGGGCTAAATATCAAGAGATCATCTCATTTCTTTTTTTTTTTAAAGGACTGGGTGTGGTGGCCTCATACCCATAATCCCAGCTCTTTGGGAGACCAAGGTGGGAGGATCACTTGAGCCCAGGAGTTTAAGACCAGCCTGGGCAACATGATGAGACCTTGTCTCTACAAAAAATAAGAAATTAGCTAGGTGTGGTGGTGAGCACCTGTAGTCCCAGCTATTTGAGAGGCTGAGGTATGAGCCACCATGCCCAGCAAAATAAGGATTCAGTTTGTAAATTATTCACTCCTTTGTGTTCTTGAAGTAAAACTTGTTTTCTAACACTATATTGCATAATAAATAGTTTTGCTTTTGTTAACAATATGTGTATAAAGTTGTCCCTACAGTTCAACCACAAGTGGAAATGAACATGTGTGCATGCAGTGTTGAGATATAGTTTTCATAAGATTACAGAATATAGGCCATATTTGTTGTACAGTAAACTGAAGGGTGCAGTGAGAAGGCTTTAGACTTAAAACTTAATAATAATTTAGGTTCCCATTGTAATATTTAATGAGAATAATATTTTTCTTCTTTTTTTACTTTTAGTATCGTCACCCCTATGAGTAAATTAAATTTTCGTGTATGGAGTCACCAGACACTGAAATCTGATGTTTTGTTGGGAACTGCTGGAATAGATATTTATGAAACATTAAAGACAAACAATATGAAACGTATGTATCAGAGTAATAGAAATTGCACTTAGGAGTTGGTTTTTCTGGAAGAAATTAATATCCCAAACATGCATTTTCACACATGCCTTTAAGTTGTAGTTGGTTATAGAATAATCTTGACCCGTTTACAGCATTCTGAGTAGGCCTGATTTGGCCATTCATCTTGGGCCCAATGTTTTGAGTAAATACGTATTTACTTAGTAAATAGATGTTATTAAAGTAATACATAGTTAATTATGAAAAAATAAAGTAGAAGTGAAATAAAAAAATGTGAATCCCACTTCAGAGTGTCAAATACAACGAATATTTGGATGGATTTTCTTTTCGGTTACTTTTTTTGGTTTGGTTTTGTTATTGAGTCAGGACATTACTCTGCCCAAGTTGGAGTGCAGCGGCACTACCACAGCTCACTGGAGCTTCCAACTCCCAGTCTCAAGTGATCCTCCTGTTTCAGTCTCCTGAGTAGTGGGGAGTACAGCTACACATTGCCACACCTGGCTAATTGTTTTTTGTGGTTTTTTTTTTGAGTTGGGGTCTCACTTTGTTGCCCAGGCTGGAGTGCAGTGGCACGCTCATGGCCACCACAGCCTGAACCTGCTGGACCCAAGAGATCCTTCCACCTCTGCCTTTCAAGTACCTGGAACTACAGGCACATGCCACAATGCACAGCTAATTGAAAAAAAAAATTTATTGTAGAGAAGAGGTCTTACCATGTTGCCCAGGCTGGTTGCGAACCCCTGGGCTGAGGCAATCCTCTGGCCTCAGCCTCCCAAAGTTCTGGGATTATAGACTTGAGCCACTGCACCTGGCATAGGGCTCATTTCGTATTTAGGGTTTATATAGTATAATCCATTTTTAAATTATGTTTTCCTTCAATATAATTCAGGTGTATATTGCTAAATAATGCTTGTTGTCATGTAGGCCCATTTTATACTGTGGTCTTAAAAGGATTTAGTGAATATAATAAATGAAGTGATTGAAATATTTAACATTTTACATTATAGATATTAAACATTGGGAAATTTTGTTCTCTTTTTAAAATACAGTGTTTTAGTGTCAAAGTCTTAAAACCTTAGATGAAGTATAGTAAAACAACTTAAAATATATATATATATATTTTTTCAAACATTAGATTTTTAACAGTTAAGATAGCTTAAAAGGATAAAAGATGATAATTTTTTCTTGTAATTTTATTCTCTTCTAGTTGAAGAAGTAGTTGTGACTTTGCAGCTTGTGGGTGACAAAGAGCCAACAGAGACAATAGGAGACCTGTCGATTTGTCTTGATGGGTTGCAGTTAGAGTCTGAAGTTATTACTAATGGTGAAACTACATGTTCAGAAAGTAAGTGATTACTTTTTGTCACATCTTTAATGGTTCATCTTACATAAAACAGCCTGTGTACCATATTGTGTGTAATTATTTTGATTCTCAGATTAAAGAAATGATTTTTGCTTTTAAAAAAACAGACAGTGGTCACTTTAAACATTTTCTTCTCTTTTCTTTTTTTTTGAGTTGGAGTCTTACTCTGTCACCCAGGCTGGAGTGCAGTGTCACACTCATGGCTCCCCCAGCGTCGAACTGCTGGGCTCTGATGATTCTTCCGCCTCAGCCTTCCAGGTAGCCAGAATTATAGGTGTGTGCTACCATGCCCAGCTAATTAGAAAAAATTTTTTTTATTGTAGAGATGAGGTCTCACCAAGTTGCCTGGGCTGGTCTCGAACCCTGGCTCAGGCAATTCTCTCACTTCAGCCTCCCAAAGTGCTGGGATTGCAGGTTGAGCCACCGAGCCCAGCCTAAACATTTTCTTTTTAGTGCATTGTTTACATGAATTTAAACAATTTGTATTTTTATATAGGTTGAAAAACTAGCCAGATAGTAGTTGAATCACAGTTGGCCCCATGAATTGAATTGATCGATTGATTGATGTAGCTGGATTCTCACTCTGGATTCTCAGGCTGTAGTGCAGTGGCACGTTCACAGCCACTGCATCCTTGACCTGCTTGGCTCAGGTGGTCCCTCCACCTCAGCCTACCAAGTAGCTGGAAGTGATCCTTCCACATCAGCCTTCCAAGTAGCCTGTAGGCTCACGACATCATGCCTGGCTAATTTTTTATTTATTGTAGAAATGAATCTTGCTGTATTACCCAGCAATCGTCTTACCTTCCCACCTCCCAAAATGCTGGGATTACAGGCCTGAGCCACTGCACCCAACCTTGAATTGACTTATAAAACTTTTATTTTGTATGCTAATAATGGCGGTTGCTATGGCATGTTATGTGCCTCATACCTTCTGATGCCAATGGCAGGCATAGTTCATTGTCTGCAGCAGCATGTGGTTGAATTTAAATGTGACTCCAAATCCTAATTAGTATAGTTCCAGACAGCCAATACAAGCTGAAATCTGTGTGCCGTTCCTCTTCTATTTTTGTAGGCTACACTTACAGAGATATATTTTGACAAACCAATTCATTAGATGTGTGCTCGTGTATCTTAAAATTTGTGTCTACCTACCTTGGTGTTAAAGAGGAATAAACATGAGGTGTGATTAAAAGAAGTTTCTTGTGGCACCTGAGTTAGTGTCTGCACAGCTAACAAATTTGGTAATACTTCTTCCCAGTGTATTCTCTATCAGATATTTCTATCACTTACTAACATGTTAAGTGTATTTTTCACTTGAAACATAGATTTTAGACACCTCAAGACAAAGAAAGAGCAGATTAATGGATTCCTTGATTCGTTTGACAAAGATCTTTTGCTTTACATTATAAGACTGGGCGTGGTGGCTCAAGCCTGTAATCTCAGCACTTTGGGAGGCCGAAGTGAGAGAATTGCCTAAGTTCAGAGGTTCAAGACCAGCCTGGGCAACTTGGCGAGACCTCATCTCTTCAATAAATCAAAAAACTAGCTAGGAATGGTAGCATGTGCCTGTAGTTCCAGCTACTTGGAAGGCTGATGTGGAAGGATCACTTGAGCCCAGCAGGTCAGGGCTGTGGCGGCCGTGAGCATCCCACTGCACTCCAACCTGAGTGACAAAGTGAGACTCCAACTCCAACTCAAAAACAAACCCCAAAAAACTGCATTATGAAACATTTTGCAGGTGTCAGTTGCTATTCTTCTTTTTATAGTTTGTTGGAAATTTCCTACTTCTTCTTTAACTCATGACAGTTTTTGGTAGCAGGAACTTCAAGATAGTTGTAGTGTGTCTTTCATATTGGTTCTTTGGTACCAGCGAGGATGGAGAGAAATTTCTGAAGTGGTTATATTGCTTCAGAATTGATACTTTAATTGACTGTTGTTCACAAGAACTCTATAATACTCACCTTTATATATATATATATTATATTAAAAAATTGGAAATCTGGAAGACAAAATGCAGTTTAAAGTGTTAAATCACCTTAAACATCAGTATTTATAGCTTCCTAGGTTTTTTCCCCAGAAGTTGGAACTACTTCTGATGCATAATATGTAATAATTAACACGTATAAAGCTTGTCACCTTCATATTTCAGGATAGAAACTAAACTGTATACTATATGATTATATATATTATATATATATAAAATATTTATATACACACTCTTATGGTGACACTGTTTATCTCCTGTGGAAGTGGGCATTTCTGATTGACTAATTTTAGAAACTTATGCTAGATATTTTGGTGTAATTTTTCTGATTTCACTTATGTTTCATTTATCAGCCATTTTAGGAGGATATGAGGTGGGACCCAAAAAAATCGGAATTATTTTTTGTAGGGTGGGCTCCTTGTAGTACAAGCTTCACTGCTAGGTAAGATTCCTAGTAACCCATTGACCTCAGTGTACCAGCTAGTGTTGTCGTGAGAGGTTGCATTCAACTTCAGTGAATTTTCTTTTTGGAGATTATTTTTTTCAACATGTTTGCCCATTTTATTATGGTGATTTATGAGTGTACCTGCCCATTCTGTGCTGAGTGTCCAGCAGTTTTTGACCCAAAATGGCTTGAGCCCTGTGCTCCACCCTCCCTATTTGCCCTGTCTTGTACCGAGTGACTTTTCTTTTTGTTTCTCTGGATGAAAAAAGTCCTCAAAGGGAAACATTTTGGCAATGTGGAAGAAATGAAACAAAAACAGCAGAAGCACCAAAGGGCATCAAAATTGACAAGTTCAGAAAGTGTTTTGAGCAGTGGAAAAAGTGTCTCGATAGAGTGCATCAAACAGAGAGTACTTTGGAGGTGACTGAAGTTTAAACATGTAAGAATAAATACACAATTTTTTTTATAAATAACCTGTCTTTTTTGAATTCTCCCCCCCGTATATTCCATAGAAAAGGAATTCTTACAAAACTGAAATTTACCCTTTTAGCCCAAATGTATTTTATTGTACCTTTTTTTAGTCACTTTAAACCTCTTTATTGAGTTGTATTTTATGTGTCATAAAATTCACCCATTTCAAGTTATACAATTTAAGGGCTTTTAGTAACCTGAGGGATCCAGCTATCACTGTAAATCAGGTTTAGAATATTTTATCCCCTCAATAAAATCTTTCTTGCCCAGTTGACAGGAAATCCTATTCCAACCTTTGGCCTCAGACAACCACTAATTTATTTTCTGTCTCTAAAAATGTGTCTTTTGTGGATATTTTATATAAATGGAATCATACAATATGTGTTTTCTTTCACTTAGCACAGTGTTTTTGAGGTTTATCCATGACACAACATGTTTCAATATGTTTTTTTAAATTACTGAATAGTTTTCCATTACATAGATATATCACATTTTACTTATCCATTCACCTGTAGCATTTAAAAAATATATATGTCTAGACTGGATCAGACACTTGCCAACCTTGTTAAGTATGGCGTAATATAGCAGCTTTTGAATGAATTAATCCATTAATTATACTCTGGTGTAATTTGATGATTTCACTGTTTCAAATTATGACTATTCAGGGACTATTCTTCTTTTAATAAATGGTCATAGATAGTTGAACTTTAGTCCTTGTTTATGCATTTTATAGTTTTTCCCTGTCCTTCTCTGCCTACTATCTCTTTTTGCTGGTATTAATATGCTTACCTTTAGCAGTCTCCCTCCAGCACTTTTATAGAAAAAAGACCCTCGGCTGGGCACAGTAGCTCAAGCCTGTAATCCCAGCATTTTGGGAGGCCAAGGTGAGAAGATTGCCTGAGTCCAGGGGTTCAAGACCAGCCTGGGCAACTTGATGAGACCTCGTCTCTACAATAAATCAAAAAATTAGCCAGGCATGGTGGCATGCGCCTGTAGTTCCAGCTACTTGGATGACTGAGGTGAAAGGATCACCAGAGCCCAGCAAGTCGAAGCTGTGTTGGCCATGAGTGTGCTACTACACTCCAGCCTGGGCAACAGAGTGAAACTCCAACTCAAAAAAAAAGTAAAAAGATCCTGCCTAAATCCTAGCAGTGTTTCCCATCAGTAAAATTGGAAGGAAATATGAACGTTGTGGCATTCGTTTTGGCCACTTGGAGACCCATTTGTGCCTTTCCTGTTCTTTAAGCTGTTTTTCAGGCTCCTACACATAATAGTTTCCCTATTTTTAGAATATTTTATTTTCTAAAAATAGTTTCCCTATTTTTAGAATATTTTATCATTCTGCTGGTGACCTGTTTAAACTTTTATGTTAAAGGTGCTTCTCAGAATGATGATGGCTCCAGATCCAAGGATGAAACCAGGTAAGAGTTTACTGATCGTTTACCACAGAACATAGAAAGATACAAGGGAGAATTAGTAAATATTCATTTTAGTGAAAACTTCAAGTTCAGATTGATAGGAGGATAAATGAATGTCAAAAAGAATCCAGAACTCGAGGTAAATAGGGAAATATTTGTGAAAGATTGAGGAGTCTTAGATTATCTGACTGCAGCTACCTGGAGTAGGCCAGGGATAACCAAATCGTTGATACTTTCTTCAACTTGCAGAATGTAAATATATTGACACATTTCCAAGGGCAGGAAATTCTGAATCCCAGGGTCATCGCCAGGCTGATACGCTTTTTTTTCTAGGAGAGCTGTCATACGAGCTTTACTTATATGTGAAGGTTACCAACAGCTGTGTGATATCTTCTGGGCCTTTGTTACAAGTGACAGAGAGTTGTATCAACTGTTTGCTGCTAGCCCAGGTTTAACTCTAGTGTACCTATCTGCCTTCAAGTATGGTCCTAAAAAGCATTGAAAGCCTTGGTTTATGGGAATTGACTTAACAAACTTTGTTTATTGGTCATCCTGGAAACTGGTAATAGGAGATAAAATTGGAAATGAGACGATTATACTCTCCCCCCTCCCCCCCGATTCTACTCTTAAAGCACTAAGTGACAAGATAACTACAGAGTGCAGTGGTTATAAAAGTTCATTGGATTCTTTGTTTTTCCCAAATTGGGTAAGCGGTAGGTAGGAAGAAGAGGATGGACCATGGAAGTAGTAGTCAGAAGGGGAGAAGAACCAGAAAAAAATGTTACAGAAAATAAAGGAAGATTATCCAGAAAGATGGGATATTATAGTGTTAGTTCCTCTAGGGGAAGCTAGGTGAAGAAAGTAGAGCAAAATCCTTATGGTTGCTAAGGCTGTGTTGGTAGGTTCATGGGGGTTTGTTGTACAAGTCTATCTGCTTTGTGATGTAATGAGAAGTTACAGACAGCTTATCAGGATCTTTAGGAAAATCAGAGTTTATAATTATACCTGTTGTTTCTTACCTAATAGAAGTCTACCTTCACAGTCACTCCTATGACAAAGACTAATTTCCTACGCTAATTTCACAAGTGGTAGAATATTAAGGAGTGGTGACTTTTTTCTCAGAGGATAACAACTACTTTTATTTCTCACTGTGATTAAAATCAATAGAAAAGATCTTTAAAATTATGTAAATATCTTTGTAGACTACAACAACTTATTATGCCTCTTCTGCCTCTTTTTAGTGTTTGTTTAATGGAAGATTCTAGAGTTCCTTAAGTTTTATTCAAAACTTAATGTTTCTGTGAGCTTTGATCATTTAATCTTTTGCATAATAAAGCCATATTTTTGCACTAATAAGTGGGAATGTGAGAGAATTTTATATGCTCAATAAAGAGTTGTGTACGCCAGTGTTGCTTGTTTACTTTCTACAAGTCTTTCTTACAATACTTTCATGAAAACACTTGTAGTCTCAGTGTAGACATTTCTTGCAAAGGCTTTGCGAGAGCCCCACTTCATGCTCTTCATTTTTTTTTTTTTTTTTTTTT